GCCTGTTTCAAACATTCTAGAATTTCTCTCTCCATAGAAAGTATATAGAGCTGCAAATGACAAGATAACATATAGTTTTCTCCCAACTTGAAAATTCATGTGAACCATCAATGAAGTCAAATGTTTGCATCAAATTTGGCCTAAGGAGAAAAGCACCCAAAGCCGACAAAAGACTAGAAATAACAACAAACCAAAAGTCACAGCCAAAAAACAAGTGAAAATGACTTTCATTGCCACCATCACAGAAAGAACAACCAGAATAAACTTCAATACCCCTCATAAGAAGTAAGTCCGCCATTTTCAATCTGCCTAAAACCGCCATCCATGCAAAAGAGGAATACCGAAGAGAGCACTTTTTATGCTAGAGAAACTTATATCAATTCACCTCTTCAAAATGAATAAAATAACTGGAATAAAAGGTAGAGAAAGTAGGATTTTGTGAGCCATCTCAAGACATAGCTGGTTGCTCACAAAAAGTAATACCCGTGACCTTAGATCCGGGACATATGGGGGAAGAGCCCAGCAATTGTTGTTAGTGTAGCAATTAATGAAAAACTGCACAAACCTAAAGAAAGGTAAAATATCATGCAGGAACTTCCCGTTGCACCAGTGATCCTGTTCCATAGAGTAATTGCAGTTGGGAGAGACCTTCAAGGAAATAAACCCCTTAATCAAATGAGCCGTAGCACAAATTTTCTTCCAGAATTTGGAAGCATTAGCAGTAAGAGGCTTCCATGGGGATAAATACTTATGTTTGAACCAATATATAGCCACATTTTCCCTAGTAAAAAATCTTCACAAGAAAGAGCAAAAGCTGGCGTGATACAGTCCATCAATAGAAGGGATACCGAGACCTCCCAGACGCCTAGGCAAGGCAGTATTAACTCAAGCAATTAAGTGTAGCTTCTTATCAGCAATCCTACCATGAAAAAGGACGAATCTAGCTAGAGCAAAGCTTGGAGATAGTTTTACAACATGATTTGGGTATGATATAACCCCTAATCCAGTAAGCAATGATATTAGCAATAGTAAGCTTTATGAATTAAACCCTATCTACAAAAGAGAGAAATTTTACTTTCCAACCATCAAGTAGAGTAAGAATTTTACTCAGTAGTGGTTGAAAGGGAGAAGAATTGAGGCCGGTTGGTGCAATAGGAATGCCCAAATATTTGAGAAAGGAGCTCTTATGAGATATGCCCAAAGAATCACAAATATGATCCTGACAAGAGACGTTTTTAGAAATGGTTGAAATTTTGCTTCTTCTTTTTTTCGAGAAGGTGCAGAATTTGAAGTCATTTAATTAATAATTTTTTTAATAAAATTTAAATTATGTATTTAAATAATTCCATTTAAATCTATAATTCATCAAAAATAAAAACATCAATAGCTAATTTAAAGACAAAAATATTAATTTTCTAAAACATCAGTAGCAAATCTTGATCACATTAAAAAAATGAGAGATTCACAATAATGTTTGTGAAAAAATTCATATGATTGTCACAAATCTTGAAATACTATCTGAATTGAAAATTTTTTGAATTAAATTTAAGATGATTTAAATCCCGATTTTGGCAAATTTATACTTGAACTAGACATCTCAACGGGACGAACCTAGTGACGCCACAAATGATTTGATCAGACTTCAAATGAGCTCAAATTAGGCATTTGAATTATGTTTGAAAACTTCTAAATATAAATTGATTGATCAAACGACTTCTATTATAGCATGCTTATAGTCAAATTGAGCGAGTCAATGAGAGGAATCTAATGATTTTAAGATCGCTCAATTCTAACATTGTTAATACATTTTAATGTTTGATAAAAGATCTATAATCCATGGGATGAATATGGACCATAAGATATAGTGCTTTGGAGTCTAGTCAAATTTATCAAAGTCTCGTCCTATAAATAAATGATATAAATATGACACCATTCTCTAGAGAAAAGGGAGATTGAAAAGCTGAGAGAGACATTTTCCAACTATCACAACCAATGACCACCTCCAACAGTGGCCGCCACCGTCTTCAGACATCTATAAAGATCTATAATTATTGTTAGGTTTATAATTATTCGTCATGGGCCATTTGAATTCTATAATCCCACAATAAAAATTTCTCAATTATTTCCTCTATAATTCCTCCTTAAATAGTGGGAAAGAGAGAATTTTTGTATATCCTATTCTATAATAAATTATTACAACTAGATCAAGCCTTATTGTTTTTCTAATTTTCGTATTTTCCACTTAAAAAATTTCTTGCCTCTACAACTTTTTCTATGCTTGTAGAATTTTTGTCCAAAGCTAAAATATTAAACATAATTTCCCGAAATAAATTTTCTAGCACTTAACAATGTTAGAACAATGTAATCAAAACAATTAAATCTCGTGGTATTATCCAACACCTATCACAAATGGACACGTGTACACATAAGAGCAATTTGTATCTATATATACATAAGCATCACCTGTAACCGGATACAAGATTAATAATACATTTGCATATCTGTTTTACATTTAGCTTTCATCTTCTTTATCCCCTTCTTGAGTTTCTTCAAGGTATCAAGAGGAGTTCGATTCTGAGAATCTCGCATGGCGAATCAAGCTTCCGCTTCTTCCTCGATCGCAGCTACCACCTGCGCACAGTCGTCCGCTCTGGTCATCTCTCACTCCCTCAAATTCGTTATCTCGAATCTAAAATTTTTGGTTCCTCATTCTCTTACTTCAGATAATTTTCCAATTTGGAGCACACAAATCGCGAAATTATTCAAGGCAAACGGTTTCGGGGTGTTTCTTGATCCAAAATTTGGTCCGAAGAATGAAGATCCAAATCAAGATTCGCACTCTTGGACGGTCACGGATCAAAATTTAGCCACGACAATGCGCTCGACTATCTCACCCGTCGTTCTTCCATATGTGATTCATCTTGAATCAACTCAAGAAATCGGGTCTACGCTCCATACGAGGTTTCAATCATCCAACCGTTCAAAGGTCATCCAGCTCAAAAACGAGCTACACAATATTTCAATGCAAACGATGTCCATGACGCAATATATTACCGAGATCAAGAAGATAGTGGATCAGATTTCATCTGCGGGCTCATCTGTTGATCCGGAATATGTCATGATCTACATCTTGAATGGCTTGCCTCTGGCTTACCAGTCGTTCACGACAACCATCCGAACAATGCAAAATTCGATGACACTAGATAATTTGTATGCGCTTCTAATCAGCGAGGAAATACATCTCAAATCCTCTGCAATGAAATTTCCAAGCGTTCAAGAAAACCAGTTACATCTTTACACATCCAGGGGACGTGGTAGACGGGGTCGGGCTAGACCGACCAATGTAACGACTGCTGCAAACAAACCGTCCCAATCCTCCGGCATTCAATGTCAAATTTGCAAAAAGAAAGGTCACGAGGCGAACGCATGTTGGCATAGACTCAATGCCAACTACATCCCGAATCAACAACAATCCAAGAACAACAACGCCCTCATTGCAAACAATGAAATCAACTCGGGCGTCGACTGGTACATTGATTCCGGAGCCTCGTCGCACATGACAACTACAACCGATCATCTCACCAACTACCATCCGTATACCGGTAATGACATGGTATGTAAAACCCTTAAAAAGCTGTTTTTTTTAGTGCAGTTAGTCCGTACGAACTGGATTTAGTACGGGACGAACTGAAGAAAATTGTGAAGAAATCTGTCAATTTCGTATGTACGAAATTCTGCCCGAGGTAAATCGTCCCGGGACGAATTTTGGATCGTCCGGGACGATCAGTGTTAATAAATATCAGATTCGAGATATTTTGGATCATTTTGAAGAGAGAGAAAGAGAAATCAGGAGAGAGAAAGAGAAGGAAGAGACGGAAAAGCTTGGTTTTGGAGCCCGCGGAACGCTTTTCGTCCGACGATGCAGTTGGAAGATTTGTTTGTCTCGCAGTAAGGACTCCGAATCCTATTTCTATTTTCAAAGATTTTGAGATTTGATGTATGAACTGATTTCGAATTTATTGAGCTTTACGGACCTTTGAACTGCTTATTGATTCTTCTTGAGTTTCTTCAAACAATACTGAAAAATGAAATAATGAAATTTAAAGCTATTTATGTAAAATATAGAGATTTATAGCATAGATATAAAAATAAAAAGGATAATTAGTTTTTATTTTTTTAAAAAAATATTATCAATAATTCAATATCACATAAAAAAATTTTCTTTGTTGTCATCTTCCTCTTCCTTTGGAAAGTCCTCGAACCCTTCAAGGGTGGACTATACTATAAGGGTGCGACCATACCAACATCAGTGCACCGGATCCCATCATCTTTCTGTGCCTGCCAAAAGGCATTGGTCAACAGCTGAAGAAAAAAAAAGATCTGGTTTTGTGGCGCTGCTTTACTTGGACCAAGTAATAAGGAAGACATACTGTAATATTCTTCTTGCGCGTTAGCAGTTCAATATTCAAAGTATTCCTTCCTAATTAATCAAGTGATGAACTTAAATTAAGCTTTATTTAATCCTCATCTTTAGAAGATTTTAAGGTTTATTATCGCTAATAAAATGCATGGGAGATTTTCTTAGATTAAATTTTGATGAATGCAATACATTGACAATCAATTATAATGCATATTATTTTCATCTGAAAATGAATTTAATTATTAAAAAAAAACTAATACAAGCTTTGCTTAGATTATTTTGAGACATCTTTTTTTTTTAAGATTAAGACCTTGCTTAGAATGACTTTTTAGTAAAAAAAAATTTTTTTTTTAACTAAAAATTTACCTTAAGAATCAGTAAAAATGTATGCCTATAGCTTTTAATAAAAATGATTATAAAGTTTTTGAGTGAAAAATATTTTTTTAAAGTTAATATAAAAAATAGCTTTTCATTATGCAAATTAAAAAAAAAAAAAACCCAATGAGAATTACCATTGGAGTAAAAAAGAAAAGAAAACAAGAAAAAAGCTGTCCTAAATAAATATTACAAGCAAAAGAGATTGAAGGAAAAATTAAGATAATCTATATCCCAAAGAGAAGCAAAATTCTTTAACTGCCAATAAGTTCTAAATTACCCCAAAAAACATAGAAAAACAGACTATTAAACAAAATCACTTTTTTGCCGCTTTCTAAACATCTTTATATTAAAAAACTATTTTAGAAAGTAATAAGAAAGCCTTACATTATACCAAATTTCAAACTAATGATAAAACATTTTAATGACCAAATCATCATTAATTGTCTTAAGGCTGTCCAAATTTTATGTCAGTCTGAACTGAAGCTTGAGTTGTGGCCCAATGCAAGCCATGATAGGTTCTTCTCTGGCTTCATTTCTGATGTTGGTTCCATTTGTGGCAAGCCCTTGACTGTATAAGGTGCATTGCTATTTATCCTGTATTTTAAAAATAAAATTAAATAATAAGAGTAATAAGAATTTATACATCATTACATGTGTTAACAATGTTAATTCATAAAGACAAATCAATTAGCACATTAATCGAATATGTTCTTCTCTTCTATAGAACAAAGATGTATATGACACTGCTAATTATTATGCAATCATATATAATGATATTTACTAATCTGTAAGTGTGATACAGCAGTGGTTATTAATTAGCCATAATGAGATTTTCAATGGTACTAAAGATTTGTTTGGATGGAGAAATTATTTCGTGCGGAGTCTGGATGTGAACAACCGTTCGAATATGTGAGTGTACACATTGTGTACAAAATTTGATACACAGTTTACTGTTCGTACTCCGCACGGAATAATATCTCATTTGGAAGAGCTTGGACTGCTTCTATGGTGAGAAAGTAGTTAATAAAAATAATATATGTTTTGAGGATAGTCTTTTACCTTTTTTTTTTTAATTTGTCTTTAAAAATTCATTTTTGAAGAAGCATTTATAAAACTGCGATTGAGAAAGAAGCTTTTAAAAGTAAAAAATAGTAAAAGCTTAAGGTTTTGTTTGAGACAACTTTCTTATTGTTTCTTAAAGTAACTTTTTAGTACAAAATTTAGTATTTTGTACTAAAAAACTGCTTTAAGAAGCGATAAGAAAGCTTTCCCAAATGAAATCTAAGTTGCCCCCAAACAAAACTTAAATTTGTTCACAAATAGCTTTGTAAGGATTTCAAAACTTGAAAAATTGTAGGCAAACATATCTATTAAGAACACAAATATTAATGTTATTTTTCTCATTTCCACCCACAAAATGCAAACGAAGATTTTTTTCCTTAAAAAATATATATAACTCACAAACTTAGAAGTCAGATTGAAATGCTGATGGTAAAAAAATTAAGAAAATAGAGATTAAATTTTAATAATCTTAATATTAATTTAGTATGTCAGAAAAAATAATTTATGGGTAGAACATTATAGCATTAATCATTAATACATACTAATTGATAAGCTTGTGATCAAATCTTATTACTTACCGATCCTTTCTCTTCTCCAGGAATCTATGAAGAGAAGCCCTCCTTGCAATAGGCATGGACAGATCTGCCACAAAAGATTTGAGAAATGATTAGAATTCAATTGAAAATAAATAATCAATTAGGAAATATAATTGAAATTTGACATTAATTTAACTTAATATTTCTAATTTATCTTATACTAAAATTCAGTGTACTTCAATAAAAAAATAATAATTTGCATAAGAATATTATTATTACAGAAGTTCATCACAAGAACATTGGAAAGGCCAATTGGCTCTTAATGATTAAGTTGGAGCGGTTAATTGAGTTCATTAGACACTGTAAATTCACACACATATCATATACGCAAGGCTCAAATCCAAGACCATTTGGTTGGTAATGAAAGGTCCCAACCACTTTCCAAGGTGAGCTGCGTATGGACAATCTTTTATAAATTTAAAGTGGCTTGTATACACCCAGCCACATGAGTTGGGTTAGGTGAATCAAGTCATTTTGTGGATTTGAATCAAATTTAAAAAATCATTAGTAATGAATATGCTTATAACTTAAAATTCACATTATAATATAACTAAAAATCCCGGGTCTTTTTTTTAGGACTTTTGACTTTTTGAGCTAATTAAGTCAAACTCACATACATATCACATATACAAGCTTTAAACCTAATACGTCTTGGTCGGTAGTAAAAACTCACAATCAACAAAAATAAAATAAAATAAAAAAATCACAACCAACAAATCAAAATGAAAGCGTAACCCAGAGTCTTTCAAAACTACACTTGATCTAAAAAGTTTCATAAAAATTAGCTATAACTTCTATCCTCATGGCATCTCCAATCGAAAATCTCATTTTTACTCCAAAATGCAGTGAAACTAAAAAATGTTCTGATTCATCTCCAATCGAACTCCATTTTGCGCACTTATGGGAAGGTAACCGTCTTTCTCCTCTTTCACATTTTTCTTCGGCAAATCTGGTTGAGACAAAAAAATTGCATATGTGAACAATGTAATGCCAATATTGACGTCGCACTGTTCACCCTCCACCGATTAGCAATTTTTTTTGTCGTTCGAATGGAGCAAACCAACTACGAGTCTACGACTTACAGTCGTTTGGAGTTCGGCTGGAGACGCCCTCCGTACTAAGTTGATCATTGATTAAGTTTATTCATTTAACACAACTCTAATTGGTCTGTTGGTTGGGAGCTTTGGCAACCAACTAAGAGGTCTTGAGTTCGAGTCTTACGTATGTGCCGTGTTTAAGAGTTTACCTTAATTAAGCTAAATGTAAAAAAAAAAAAAAAAAAAATTGTTCATTCAAAGAACTTCTTAACTTGCCCAAAGTGCTTGTCAACAAAGTAGGTGTCCACGCCAATAGAACTTACTAAGGTTACTCATTCTAAGCGCTTAGCATTGCTTCCCAACCAAAGGGCACGATTTCCTTAACCGCTCACCTTCCAAAAGAACTACTCATCGTAAGATCGGAGCTACTCGGCGATTCTCCAGACCAAAAAGCTGACTTTAGTCCTCACTCACTGATCACTACACAACAAACTCAGCCAATGCATTTTCTATCTAATTTTACTTTGAAGCCAATCATGAACTTTTGCTTTTGATCCTCATTTATAAAAAGAAAGGTTATTAGTTGAATAATTTTATTAGAATTCTCTATGTAATTTCTTCTCTAGTCTAAGACCTTAGATCTTAGATCATAGATCCGCCTTCAATTAGAACAAGGAAGTGAATAGGAAAGGAGATTTACCAGAAGCTCTAGCCTCCGGCGGCAACGGTGGAGCCGCCGTAGCTCCGGTGTTGGCGGAGTTAACGTTGACAGATTGAGGATGGAAGACCATCCCTTTGCTTGCCATTTTCATCAAGTCCTTAGCTTTCATGGCCGGAAAATTGTCGAAGATCATCACTTTCCCATCGTAAAATATGGTTAACTGACCATTCTTCTCCTTCTCCCTTCTAAATTATATATAAAAAAGAGGTTTTTAGAAACTCCTGATAAAATTAAATCCTTATGAAAAAATAATTTAAAAAGCTTTAATTCAAAGTAAAAGAATGTACTTTTGTTCGCCATGCTTTGAAGCTTTGCCTGTGTCTTCAGTAGAGGGATCCATAAATATCGTAGCGTTTTGTTCCGAAAACTCCTCTGAGTTGAAGTTATTTCGGGTTTCGGCTGATACATCTGAGCCCGGAAACAGATTCATCGTTGTTGGCGGTTGATAAAAATCTAAAATTTAAGAAAAAAATTAGAAGTAATATTCCTGAAATTAAGAAATTTTACAACGTTAAAAAAGGGAATTAAGAAATTCTTCTTCTTTTTTTTTATTTTGAAGGCTATCAGAAATGATTCTGTTTCTAACTCTGAACAAGCAAAAAAATCAGTTTTTCTTTTTTTTTTTAAATGGGGAAAAAATTATAAATACAATGAAGCAGATGAACTCTCAAAGATTAAAAATACACCTCTATCATTCCAATCCTCACCGAGAGCAGCATAAATTCAGTCAAATAACAAAAATAAAAGAAAAAAAAATCAAAATTTCTCCACTTTTTTAAGTAAAAATCTTACCTTTTGCCTTCTCCTGTTGCTGATAAAGCCTATCGATCCCCTGCAGGTCGCCATGACTGCGCGTCTCCTTAAGAAACTGGCTAAGTAAACTGCAAGTCACTGCAAAGCTTGATTTCTCCTTTGCTCTTCTCTGGTTCTCCTCCATCGATCTCCAGCCCTCTCTCTCTCTCTCTCAGGCTCTACTGAAGGAGAAAAAGTGGTTCTATATATTCTTCCCTCTCTATTATTTTTATATTCTTTTTTCAAACTTTTTTCTACAAGTACTGCGATATTGCGTTGGTTCCTCTCTTCTTCCTCCTCCTATTTGTCTTTGAAGACTGTTCTTATTATAAAGCACGTGAACTATTTGGATGAATTTGAAATTGATTGGAAGAAAGAAGCACGTGGTTGATTTTCTAGAATGGCCAGTGGTCCAGCCGGTGCAACAGCTTTGAAGAGCTGGAGATGCAATAAAGGAGAATTTAAGAAGCAACACATTTTAATTTCTTAATTGAAAGCTTGGACTATTAACAAAGAGTTTTTTTATTATGGCTTCATTTGGGATAGCTTTCTTGCTTCTTCTTAAAGCATCAAGAAAGTTGTCTCAAACGAAGCCTAAGTCTTACGTATGTTATATGTGTATGAATTTATCTTAATTAACCTAAATGTCTGAAAGAAAAAGAGAGCATAAGTTGTCATAAATATGCCTAAATAATTGAAGTTGATAATTACAACTATGAATATATTTGGCTTACTGCTATTAAAATAATATTACCATTTAGATTGTAGTTGTAGTTAAATGATAATATTCTTTTTATTTGCAAGTGGGTTTGATGTAATATCATTTTATTTTATTATGAAATTCTATCTAGAACATTAAAGAACATTTATGATGATTATTTCTATCTCGAATTTGATCATAGACAGGTCATTGAGGTCGATTTGGGTGTCCAAAAACTAATCATTAAACTAAGTATAACAAAAAATTGTAACTATCAAAATCGGTCGTAGAATATGCTTACGACAAGATGTTTCTGTAAACTTATTGTCATAGAGTGATTGATATTTCACGTTTCAAGTCATATCACATAATCAACTGCAACTTGCAATAGGCAAAATATCAACCAATTTTTTAAGATGCAATTTTCTATTTTATTCACCTATAAGTTCATATGACAATTAACAATTTCATAAAAAAATAAGCAATTTAATATAACAAGTATACATTTCATTTAATTCAAATGCTACAATAATTTTACATAAATTAGTAGAATTGTAATTCAATTGAAGATTTAAGTCAAAATAATGCTCAACCACAGACATTTGATTTTTCATTTCACGAACAAATTGATATAAAGATATGTTATCATCATCGTCATCATCATCTTAAACTCTTGTTACAAAATCTTGTTTATTTAACTCTTTCTAATCGACCCATAATGTTCTCAACTTCCTTTCATGTGATTGATAACCCTTGCTATGAACTCTCTTTTGCTCTTTTATGATGCGATGGATACCATCTTCTATTCCAAAATTGCTGCCAAAGTCATACATGCTCCCCTTAGCAACCCCCCTTAGCTTCCATGCATGTGTAAAAGTCAAACTTATGCAAGCTAGCACCCACTCTATATTTTGAGATTACAAACACCTCATATTTTTTTTTTTTTTGACATAAAATTCAATAAGTATGACATACACTCGATCCATGCTTCGAAATTCATAAATCAACAACATATAATGAAAAAGCAAATATCAGGATAATCAATACTATGTCGAATACAATGCTATCTGCTATTTTCATGTTGATGGCTCTATTATATGCTTTCAATTAATATATGCTTTCTGTCAAATGTTATGTCATATACTTATCTATTAGTATGACATATCAATATACTATATCAACATGTTTATCAATATGTCTTTCAGCATCTATTAATATATCTATCATATATTATATAATATTATATCAGTATAAATGCTACTTCTATCAGTTTTATTTATCAATCAACTCAATCAATTAATATGTTATTATGTAAATACAAACGTTGTATAATTATGACTATCAAGGTAGGACATACAGCTTTTGAAATGATGTTTTCCATCCTTTTATATGTTAGTCGTCGATCATATCAATCCTTTATTATTTGTCAATTGCATCGTTCAATTATTTTTATTAATAATTTATTTTAACAAGTGAGTTTTTAATAAATAAATGAAGAGTTGACACTCTCTATTCGTCGGCATAATCAGTCAATCGGTTATAGAGAAAACATACTTGATTACACTACAAACATTTTATCTAAAGGAAAGCCCATCGGCTCACCCTCTTGTACATGGTATTATGTTTTAATAGTCAACTCATTTTAATTATAATATTCATAGTCAATCTTTCTTGCTTATAAGCAAATGCCACATTTATAATATATCTGTCATATTATTTTTTTATATGCAATTCAATAGTATATATGAAATATAATAATCAATGAAATACAAAAAAAATATGTATTATTCATTAACTTAGAAATCAAACTACAATTACCAGTGAAAAATCAATAATGATTGCAATCCAGAATTGGCTAATAAGAGTTATAGTCTAGTCATATAAAAGAAGTTACAGTATATAAGAGAAAGTTATTTGATAAAATTGAGAAATAAAATTATATATTTTTTATATAATTTTGGGATATTAAATCATGTATTATAAATCACTAAAAGATTAAGATATGATTGAGCATACCATGAAAAGAAGGATCTCTAAAGAGACACTAAAGAATGAAAAAGTGCTCATCCTCTCTCTCTCTCTCTCTCTCTCTCTCTCTCTCTCTCTCTCTCTCTCTCCATTTCCTATCCTTTTCTCTCCTTTCTTCCCTGGCAAGGTATGCAAATGGAGGGGGGAATGGCTGGGGGGATGACTAAAGTGAAATTGATTTAGATATTTTACTTTTTTTAAAAACCACTAATCTGGACACTCAACTGTCTAGCACCGTTGTGCTACCTCCCTGAAGCCCAGCTAGCGCCATAGTGCATACCCCAAATCCTATTTTTTTTGTCCAAAACCTGAGAGCTCAACGCCGGGGAGCCGCTGTGTTCTCATCGCCGTTGCGCCATCAAGTACAATGCCGCAGTTCTGTACCTTAGAATTTTTCAAAATTTTCAAATCAAATCATTTTATAAAATTTTAGGCTATTACACATGGCCCCAAAGTAAGATAAGGGTGGGTAAGTAAAAGTATCCTTCAAGTGAGGAACGAATGACCTATATTACCTGAGTGACATGTAGTAGTTGAACAACTTTAAGTTAATGGGAAGCCTAGATTGAATGAAGGTATGATGAAATTATGACAATTATTCTCTTAAGGGGCATTACATAATTGGAAATTGACAAATGATTAAGTGTTTACTGTTCATTTGAGTTGGCGAGTGTCTGATGTTAGTGAGTGATATAGAGTTGGTAGATAATTAGAGAAGACTTGGAGTCCGTAGGAAATCAGTGGTGATTTATGTAATTTTCTCTTGAATAAAATGGATATTGGTTGGCGTAAATTTGACAAGCATGAAGTATAGTGGAAGGTTTCAAGTCATAATACGGTGTTAGTTGGTGACAAGCATTATAAGATGATAGGTGTTAGTAGATGGAAAACATTGGTGACAATAAGGTGAAATGATATGAAAATGATGATTAGTAGGTGAAGGGGGATATTGACATGTGTGAGAAAGTTGGAAATTCACTCTTATTAGAGATAAGAATAATTTAGACATTCAAAGTCATTCGAAGTTTGAGAAATAATTATATATATCATATCTTATAAGAAAGCAAAATAATCATTCAATAAAAATAAATGATAAGACAATAAATTAATATATGGTTTTATCTTATAACCAATCCTTTGTGTAGCGAGCCTAATCTTTTTTTTTTCATTATTTGAAAAGAAACAAATACACAAATGTCACTTCAACTGCACCAACACAGCTCTTCCAAATCTTCAACTATTCATCACGAACAATGCATTAGGGACTTCAACTTACACTTATCGTCAGGTTTTTGAGGTTGAGGACTCCTTCAAGCATAGCCTCACCTTTCTCAAAGCTGCCGGTTCGTGTAGGAGCTACCAAAGGAATTTCCAGTGTCTGTGAGCCCCTTCCACCTGATAGACCACTGTGGTTTCCAGGGAGCTCGCCACCATAGTGGCTTGATGGGAGGTCATATCTCATCTTTAACACTTGATTCATATTTTTCAGTTGTAATTACTGTATTTAAAAATTTCAGCCTTCCTGGAGATTTTGGCTTCGATCCTCTTGGATTAGGTGTGCACTCTACATTCTTGATCAAATGCCTCAGTAAAGTTTTCATTTTTATCTGATTTGTTTACTTTGATGATTTTCTAGGATCCGATCCTGAGCTGCTCCAGTGGTTTGCGCAGGCTGAGCTAATGCGTGGTAGATGGGCAATGCTCGCGGTTGCTGGCATTTTAATCCCGGAATGCCTTGTGAAGCTTGGATTCATGGAGAGCTTCTCATGGTTTGATGCTGGGGTGCGGGAGTACTTTGCTGATCCCTTGACCTTGTTTTTTGTGCAAATGGCATTGATGGGTTGGGTTGAAGGGAGGAGATGGGCCGATTTGGTTCGTCCTGGAAGCGTTGAAATAGAACCAAAGTTCCCAAACAGGGAGAGCCCGAAGCCAGATGTTGGTTACCCGGGTTGATTGTGGTTTGATCCCATGCAGTGGGGAAGATTATCACCTCAGCCTGTGATGGTATTGAGGACCAAAGAGATTAAGAATGGGAGATTGGCCATGCTTGCTTTCAGGCTATTTATACTGGAGACGGGCCTCTTGATAACTTGATGGCTCATATTGCTGATCCAGGGCATTGCAATATATTCTCGGTTAGGCACTTTCCTCTTGAATTTTTACTTTTGTAATATAAAGTGGATTAAATTATTTTCCAATGTCAGATATATTAGATTCATCATGAAGTAAATGATAGATTAGGTTTTAATAGAAATAATTTGAAGAAAATTAAGGCAATAGACAAAGTTGATAGTTGTTTTCAAATAGATGTGTTTTATTTCTTAAAAAACTATGTTGTATGATTTTGATGTAGATCTGCTCTTCGCTTTATCAAAGAAAAGATAACCGATTATTCATCTTTATAGTTGATGTTGCTCCATTATTGCGGTATCAGAGTCTAATGGCAGAGAGCGAGAACTAGAATTTGGCATGCAACAATGTTAACGACTGAGAATTGGTGTGAGAAGCTCAATATTCTTTCAAAAAAAAAAAGCTTGAAATTATTGTGGGAATCTTCTAGTAGTTTGTCCTCGAGATGCGGCGTGAACTCCAAGCTTTTAGGATCATTAGTGGCCCCCTCCCGGCAACAACACCGACAAATTTGGCTCGTTACCAACATAAAGCAAAATTGTTGCGGCTAATAATGACCATTTGTGAACTCGATGATTTGCTTATTCTACGCAATTTGAGCATCTTGGCTCCACAGTGTAACTATTACCCGGTCTACATAGCATTTAGTTTTATTTTGATTTAGAGGAGGATCCCTCATTGTTGGGCATTCCCTACCAAAAATGGAACCAATCAACCCATGCAAAAGAAGACTTTAAACTTAAAATGATATTCCTCTATTTGATGATCATTTTTGCATCGAAGATTATTGGGATTGGGAATGATCCATGGAATCTTTCTTTGAATATGTGGATATCAACCCAAATCGACAAGTATAATACATCTTTGTAAATTGAAAGGTGGCACTACGGCCTGATGGGTGCAACATAACAAATCGAATTGGCGAGAAGGGAAGAGCATTGTTAAAAGTTGGATTCCAATAAAGTAGTTGTTGCGTGGATTCTTTCTTTTGATTACGAACAACTACTATGTATGTAATATCATAAATACTTCAAGGTAATCAGTCACTCCGTTAGCTCCTACAGGAATAATTTTCCTGACTTAGTGCCCGTAATAACCTTTTGTAAAATCTCTCAACAACTAGCAATTAGGTATATCAGAAGGAAAAAAGAATCTATATAAGAGTGTACTATGCTTACAAAGCTGAACTTTAGTTCATTCAAAGCCACTAGAAATCCAATATAAGATGCAGTATTCCTAAGCAAAATAAGACAGGGCTTCTTAACAAAAAAGGGAGTAATCTTCAATCCCAAAACAATGCAATTGTTGTTGTTATATCAGACTCCAAAGTACTACCGAAGTAAGGAACTTCTCGAGATAATATTTAAACTATATGTAGCCCTTCTAAATGTTTATGGTGTTTATAATCATGGAACTGTTCCTATGAATGCGCAAATAGAAAACAGGTGCAACTTCTTGATGAACAAAAGGAAGAGGAAGAGAACAATTTTGAGACACCTATATCCTTGACATTGAAGAGGCCAAAGAAGCTATTGGTGATGTGGAAATTTCTTTTTTGTTTACTTGAGGTTATACTGATTGTACCAAAGAAACATCTAGCTAGCCAACAGAATGCAATGTTTTGCACTCGTTGCACAATTAATGGAAGATGGTCAAGGCCTTCGAATTGACTTCTAAACATCCTCACTCATATAAGATCAATTTTGTCATGAAGGGAATTAAGGTGCCTATCATGGATGTACGCAAGGTAACATCATTAATCTACAACCATTTTATTTGTGACATTTTTTGTTATGGATGGAAGTCATTTGATCTTGGAAAGGCCTTAAAAATATGGCATGGGTGCTTATATGTTTGTCGAGCTAACATCTATGTATTTGATTGACAAGAAAAGAGGATGCGATCGTTGCCAACTCCAAGTGGTACTAAAGGAATGCTAGCTAACAGTTCAAAAATCCTCTGTGTGATTGGTGTGGGCTAGGTCTTTGTTAACGATTGTTTTGGGCTTCTTGAGCAATAGAGAAGATGTGGGGACGTGAAATATTGGGATTTCTATGTGTGAAGAAGGTGAACACTTCTTATTCTCTCTTTTAGCTTATTCTTCATCTCTGTGAAAGACAATATGTTTTTATTGTCGGTTGAAAGTCGGTTGGTACAACGAGATTTTTTCTTAGCTTAATGCTGGAAGTGCAGGTGTTTTGCTCCTTGTATATTAGGAGGTTTTGTTTTTTGATACATGTTGTGCTGCTTTCAGTTGTTTTTGGACTACGTCACCTGGTTCACCTGATTTATCGTTTCCTGTTGCTCCTGTTTTAAAGATCTTGTTAGATCTTGAGAGGTGCACTTGTGGTTCTTTAATTATAAATCTGAACCAAGATGGATATTGTGAGGTGTTGGTCTAGTTTTAGTTAGGTTATTCCTGCATGTTATCACAATCCTGTAAATTTCTATAAATAAAGGCTTTGTATGATGTATTAGTTGGGGAAAATTTAATAAAACTTTTGGTAGTTTTCCTCCTCAAATCCTGTCTCTCTTTCTCCTCACTCTCCCTCTCCCTCTCTTGCAAGAAGAGCTCAAGATGAGCTCTCAAAGATCCTCCTGATTTCTTAACATATAATTCTAGTGGAATTTTGATGATCGTTTGATAGCTTCAGGGAAGTTCCATTCAAAACCTCTGCGTTATACCTAAAACTCTTGAATTTTAGCTTAGAATCCCGGAACCAATCTTACATTCTTTAAATCAAAATTGATTCTAAACCAACTAAATCGAATTGAAATCATCTATACTGAAAGCCATGCTTTACATGATGTTTAATCATTTGTCTTTGTGTTTACTTTCTCTGAGAAATGACCTAGGCTTTTCAGCTTTCACATTTTAAACTTTACTGTTATCATTTCCGTTTCCTCTTATTTGTCTGAAACTTCTTCAGGCATTCTCATCCCATTGATTTGCTGGAAGAGAAATTACTCATTCAATAAAACATTGAAGCAGCAGAAAAGAATCCACGGAGAAAAAACGAATCCATTGTGAAGGACTTTGTAGCTACGATGTAAATTAAAGTAACAATATCGTTTTTTTTTTTTGGTAAGCTTGCAGGTCTGCTAAACTCTATCTTTCAGATCTTCCAGAATTGTATTATGAACTCTTCTTAATACATACAATGAACAACCTTAGTTTAACATTTCCAGATTTTTTATTCATTTAATGCACAATTTTGAGCAGAGGCAGCTCTTCTTAATCTATTGATCGAAAACTTTGACTATCATTTAAGAGTTTTGAATTCGAGTTTTGAGTATGTGATGTGTGTAGGAGTTTGTCTTGATTGGCCTAAGACTTGGTTTGGGACGGCTTTCTTTATGCTTCTTAAAGCAGCTTTTTAATATAAAATTAAAATTTTTGTACTCGAAAGCTGCGTTAAGAAGTAGAAAGAAAGCCATCCCAAATGAAGTTATATATATTATGTTAATGATCTTTTTTGAGATTAGTGTGTTAGATAAATAAATATAAAAATGTAATGTTAGATGTATAAATATATAAAAATTATATGTTGTATATGTAAAGCCCTCTTGTTTATCTTGTTTCACAAGAATTTCTCTCAATCATATTACTGGACTGCTCTTTCTGCCTTTCTCCTTTGCCTCATTTTCCCCATAATTGCAATATATGCTGATCAGCTATGCTTAAATTATGATATCTTTATTATTATTATTATTTTATTTAAATTTTGTTGGGCTCTTTCAGATAAGCAAAACACTTCAGCGTTCAAAATTATGAGTCTGCACCTCTTTCTGTCACACAGAAATCCAATTTTCAAGAAAATCAGACCAAGTGAAGGATATTTCCTTTCAGCAAAGAGGGACTGAATGGGGATATCTATTTAACTCTAATCAAAGGCGTGAGATCAGGGGCGAATTGGGAGTGTTTTGAATGGACGGCCGATATTGAATCCTTTGATCATGCACCGTTCGGTTGACATTTAAAGGCCTTAATGATGTCGGAATTAAATGATCTTGGGCTTGTTGGATTCGTCTCGTCGAGCCGTTCGATTCGAGTATAAGCTCGTCAAAATCGGAGACCGTTTTCAAATTGCGGTTTGAACCTTCCAACAGCGCTTTGAACCCTTGATTCAGACTCATTTGGGCTCTGATTGGGTTGATCTTGGTGTCGTTGGGTTTTTTCTTTCTGAGATGCTCTGTTCGACTGTAAGCTTACTAAAATCGGAGTTCTTATGCTCCCGAAATTAATTTTTGAAGTTTTCAACTAGTTTTTGCCTTGAGATTCGTGCCTGATCAATATAATTTTCGCGTGATGTATTAGATATTTTTTGAGATTAGTGTGTTAGATAAATAAATATAAAAATGTAATGTTAGATGTATAAATATATAAAAATTATATGTTGTATATATAAAGCCCGGCCTCTTGTTTATCTTGTTTCACAAGAATTTCTCTCAATCATATTACTGGACTGCTCTTTCTGACTTTCTCCTTTGCCTCATTTTCCCCATAATTGCAATATATGCTGATCAGCTATGCTTAAATTATGATATATTTATTATTATTATTTTTGTTTAAATTTTGTTGGGCTCTTTCAGATAAGCAAAACACTTCAGCGTTCAAAATTATGAGTCTGCACCTCTTTCTGTCACACAGAAATCCAATTTTCAAGATAATCAGACCAAGTGAAGGATATTTCCTTTCAGCAAAGAGGGACTGAATGGGGATATCTATTTAACTCTAATCAATCTTTTTATATGGAAATCTTCAAAAAAAGTAAAAAAAATTAGGGTTTGATTCAGTTGAAATGATCTAACTAATGTTTGCTATTTATTACAAATGATATCTTTCTCCATATGTGGGGAAGGTGTTGATATCATATAGTAAACGCGAGAAATGTAAAGCAGATTCCGTGGTGAAAATTGGAAGAACCATGTGGTATTAGAGTGGAAGGGTTTTCTTCAAGATAACTTTTGGTGTATGTTTAATCATTATCCTTTGAGGATGGGTGATAAATTTATAAGTTCAATATAAATTTTGATTTTAATGTCGGAAGTTAGAGTTGTTATCAACGAAATGCATCAATGTTATATGTGATGACGTACATCAATGTTATTGGCAATAACGAACAACAAAGTTAATAGAATGCATTAGCGTTATATGTGATGGCATATATCAATATAGTTAGCTATGATAGGAAACAAAGTCAAGGGGCATTAGTATAGTTGGGTAATAGTGGTTGGGATATCGTAGTTAGGTGATAGTTGTCGGAATATCATAGTTGGGGGACGGTGATATGAGAATTATAATTAGATGACAATGATTAGGAGCTATAGTTTGACGATGTTGGTTGGAAGTTTGCAGTCAAGCGACAATTATTGTAATGGATGGAGAGTGGTGGCTTGTTAGGGTGATTGTAATTGGGCGACAATGGCAGGAGAACCATAGTTTGGTAATTACATTTAAAAGATTGTATTTAGACAATACTGGTTGAAGGGTAGCAGGCAGGCAACGATGGTCGGATAATCATAGTTAGCTGATGTCGATCGAAGGACTATAGTTGGGCAACAATAATGGGAGGATTGCGATCGGGCGACAATAGTTAGAGGGTCATGGTCAAAGGATCATGATCTGGTGATTGTGGTCAAAGAACTGTAGAATGATGGCGATGATTGGATGATTGTAGTTGAGCTACAGTGATCAATAGGATCATAATTGAGCTAAGCGATTAGATGACCATAGTTAGGTGATAGTGATCAGATGATTATAATCATACAACAATGATCAGAGGATCATAGTTGGTTGTTGGAGGGAAGAGATCAAATGAAGGTGGTCCAATAGTGATGTTCCATTGGTGGTGGTCCAATGAAACTTTAAGATTCATTAAGCATTTGAGCATTCTTGAATCTCAAGCCAATGTTTCTCTTTAATGCAAATAGTGGAGGTATATTTGTAGTTTTTTAGAGTGACATACTCTATACATATATCCAAAATCTAAAACATTTCATCGAATAACTCATATTGATTCCTTGATCATATGCTGCTCTTTTAGCATTTAAATGCCTTAATGATATCATAATCAATCAATCATGGGCATTCATCTCGTCGAGATGTGTGATTTGACTATAAATATGCAAAATTTTGAATTTTTTAATTATGCTTCATGTGTTTGATTTAAACTTATTTGGAGTTTGATCGACTAAGCTTTTGGTAACGATGGATTCATCTCACTGAGATGTTCAATTTGACAATAAACAAAAGTACTCATTGTATCGGCGAACTGCGTTTTGAAGTTCATTTTGAACATGGTTCGATTTCAAACATTAATTCAAACTAGAATTAAACCTTTGTTTGGTGTTGAAAGAAAATTTGATAGAGTAATTTTTCATGAGTATTTTACATGAATTAATATAATATTTGTTCTAATAATGATAACAATCTATCACTTAAAACATGATTTGAATGTGTAGCGGGCATTGAGGGAGTACAGGATAAATGATAGTTTTATTAAAGGAATATTCAAATAAATATACACAAAAATAAATAGTAATAACCTGATAAAATTTAAGAGAAATTAGAATATTCAAATAAATATACATAAAAATAAGAATAATAAATTAATAAATGATAGTTTTATTAAAGGAATAGTTGTTATGAATATATACAACAAATGATAAAAAACATCTTTATATGAAAAAAATAATAAAATTATTTTGAAGGATTTCTAAAGATAACATTAATAAAAATTATTAAAAATAACTTACTATTAATAAATTTGACAAATCATAATACATTAAACAAAAATAAATGGATTTAATTATTCATACTTAGACACAAATAATAATTAAGACAATATTCATGATGATGACCACATAAAATTAATAATTTTATTTTAAAAATTAATTTAATGTCATAAAAAAAAAATCATCTTAATTATTTGCATGAAAATTCTTATGTAAATCTAATATTATTTCCAAGTGAATCACTAATTTTGAAAAAATATTTTAAAAATTATGACTGAAAAATAAACTTTAAGAAACAAAAGCCCCCTCAATTAAAAGAGATGATTACGTGCGGTCACCGGACGGTCCGAAAGTGAATTAAAATGTGCCACGCCACCCGATAAACAACGGTACCTAATACCAGTACACAATAAAAAAGTGACGCGGCGCTTCCTGATTCGTCTCTGACGGGCTTCCGGTGACCGCACATAATAATTTCACCTCAAATAAAGCCTAACCTATAAAGATTAAAAATAACAATTTACTAATTTTGAAAGTAAATTTAAAAAAGAAAATCTATTTAAAGAAAAAAAATCGTGATACTATAAATAGTAAATTGAAAATACCAAACATTTTCCCCAAAAAAATAAATACCACATATTCCAATCCTTCGAACCTTTAAAACCCCACCCACCAAATTTTGAAGCAGAATCAAGAGATGACATACTACAGATAATCCTCAATGCTCTTCGACCTTTTTGGGGTGTTCGCCGTTCGGCGCACTCCGACGCCATCTCCACTTAATCCGGCGGGGGTCTGCCCCTCCCTCATCAACGATTCATTTAAGCCAGCCGAAGCGCTGCCGTCCTCCTTTCTCCGTCCCTCGGCCTTCTCCGCCACCTCCTCAATCCTCCTCGCAGCTTCCTTCATATCCGGCCGCCGGTCCATGTCGGCATCTATCAACTCCGCCCCAACTCGCACCATCTGCTCCATCTCAAACACCTCAGACTTAAACCCCTGCGTGATGAAGGGATCAATAATACTCCACGGAATGTTCTCCGCGAGGACCGAATTAGTCCAGCGCTCGAGATCAGTCCCGCCTTTGGTGTCGTTGAGATACAGTGATGGAATCTTGCCAGAGAGGAGCTCGAGGACGATGATGCCGAGGCAATAGACATCGGCTTTTGGACTCAAGTGGCGGTTGACGAGAATCTCCGGCGACTTGAAGGCAAACATTGTCTGCGAGGCATGCGAAAGGTTGACGAGAGGAAGGAATCCGTAGTCAACGAGCAGAGGATCAAAGTCGGGGCCGAGAAGAACGTTGGCGGATTTAAGATTGCCATGGGGGATAACGATGAAATTCAGCTCCGAGTGCAGAAACGCCATTCCTTGAGCTATTCCTCGTATTATCTTCAACCTCGTCGGCCAATTCAACGCCGCGTGGTCTTTTCCTCGGTCCCCTGTAAGAAGAAAAAGAAAAGAAATCCTTGCTTTGAAAAACTAAAAGGGTACTTAAGGCTAAAGGTATGATTTTTACTTCAAGTAACAATCTGATTTACCATGGAGGATATAGAGGAGGCTGCCTTTGGGAATGTACTCGGAAATTAGAAGCTTCTTGTCCTTCCGGTAAAGGTAGGCCAACAGCGGGAGTACATTTGGGTGGCTGAGTCTGCCGAGCCGTCGCATCTCAACCTCGAACGTCTCCTTCCCTACCCGATTCATTTCGTTCATCCTCTTCACCACCAAAGTCAAACCATTCGCCATCACGGCTTTGTAAGCTGATCCCATTCCTCCGTTCCCCATCGCCTCCGCCGCAGCCTTCATCAAATTTGACAATACGAATGTCCCCTTTGCTTCGTTCACCATCACCAACTCATTTTCCCCGCTCCCTCTTCCTCCTTTTACCGATGAGCTGCTCCTCTTCCCCTTTCCCGTCGACTCCGCGACGGCAGCGGAGGTGGTAACCTCAGGCTGCTGTGCTTCCCTCTCCCTCCTTTCCGCCATATGAATGCCCGGCGTCGCGTGCTCGAGGCTGAGCGTCCTGAAACCAGAATTATTTCGACGTTTTGCGGCGACAGCCATTACTCCCCCCAACGCCAGAATTATGACCAACACTAATCCCACTGCCGCCGCTGAACTCCCGGAAGACGCTCCCGCTGCCGCTGCAGCACCTACACAGATGTTCTCAAGCGGCGGCCCGCATAACCCCACGTTCCCGGCAAACGCGCTGGCGTTGAACTTCCTCAGGCTCGACGGTATGGGACCCGAAAGCTGGTTCTTTGAAACGTTGAAGGAAGCTAGCGTCGGCATTGGTAAATTAGGGATTCCGCCGGTGAAATGGTTTCCCTCGAGGTGGAGCTCCATCAAGCTAACGGCTTTGGAGAGAGAAGACGGGATGGAGCCTTCAAAGGCGTTGTTTGAGAGCCAGAGCTTCTTGAGATGTGACGCAGCGACAAAAAAATCGTCCGGGATTTGGCCGGAGAAGGAGTTGCCGGAGATGTAAATGGATTTGAGGGCGTGGAGGCGGGAGAAGGGTGGGATGGGGCCGGAGAATGAGTTGTCGTCTAATGAGATGGAGCGGAGGCCAGGAAGGCGAGCGAGGGCGTTGACGTCAATGCTGCCTGAGAGTCCAAGGCCGGCGAGTCGGAGGCTAGCGACGGCGCCGGCGTCGCATGTGACGCCGTCCCACGAGGAGGTGTGGGAGCAGGGGACGCCATTTCCCGGAGACCAGGAGGAGAGGGCGTTGGCGTTGGTGAGGGAGGCCTTGAGGAGGAGGAGGACTTCGGCCTCATCTGCAACTGCGACGGGGGCGACTAAGAGAACCAAGAAGGAGAAGAGGGCTATGGCCACTGCCATGGCCATGAGTCCTCTGGCGAGTTCTGTTTCTCTTTCTCTGTCTACCTCAGAGTTTCAGGAATGGGTGCCATTGAGGAGCGGGGGAGGAGGGAATGTAACGGGTGGAGCTAATCATGGCCATGCATTCTCGATTTCCAGGTTCCTAATTTGACTGATTCGACGGCGATGTGGAGATTTTTATTTAATCTTTGGCTTATTGGCCTGTGAAAATAGATTTGTAAGACTCTACATATAAATGAAGAAAATTTGGACTCTAATTATTTTAATATAATTATTGTATGAATTTATAAGAGCTCAAGACATGAATTAATTATTTATTTAATTACATGTTATTGTAGATATAAAATGATAGAAATATTGAACAAATACTTAGATGGAAAGATTAAAAGATTAATAATTTTTTTGTTGAGCTTTTTTTGTTGCTTTCTAAAATAACTTTTTGGTATAAAAAATTTTTGAATTAAAACATTTTGTATCATTTTAGAAAATAATAAAAAAGTTGTCCCAAACGAAACCTAAAATTTTTATCTTAGAGTTACAACAAATCCAATGGTATTAAAGAAAATGAAGAAATAAAAATGATCCAAGATATGAGGAAGAAATTCATGGGAAGCCCTTCCTAGTCCCTATTTGACCCATATCCTTCATTTCTTCCTTTACAACATGTTGATCATGGTAATACTTGAAAATGTAGTTGTTAACCATAATTAGTCTTTGAAGGCTAAATATATTCCACTGGCTTGAGGTCCTCAAGAATATTAGACCCCTAAGAGAGAAATAAAAGAAAAAATTAATTTATTAAGAGATCTAAGGATTGGTTACCTATACACAAGAGATCAAAGATTGGGTTGACATAAAGTTTAAAATAAGGGACTAAATTCTATGATCGATTGCAAATAGCTTTTAATCAAGGTTATAAAATATCAAGGCTACCTACACATGGTATCTTCTCTCCCAAGCCAACAACGAAGCCATGTAACTCAAGCTCATCATAGTGGCGAGAAGAGGTTATCTTATGTAATAACCTAAAATTTCATAAAATAAATTAATTTGAAAACATGAAAATCTAAGCTCCAGTGCTACTACAGTCAATTAGTGAGCGCATCGGCACTCTGCTCTCTATTCTTCAATAACTCAGAAACTCCATGCAGCGCAACAGTGCTATGGTCTATAGTGCAGTGGTGCCAAACATTAAATAATATTTTTATATACATTGAATATTAAATATACCTCACCATAATCCACAAACCCCCAATTGTTGCCTTGTTGAAGAAGAAAGGAAGAGAGAGAGAGAGAGAGAGAGAGAGAGAGAGAGAGAGAGAGAGAAGAGATAAAGTCTTTTGGGGCTTTTTTCATCCATTGCTTATGTTACAAAAGTTATTGTGATCGTAGTAAGTGACCTTTACTGTACTTCTATTTTTAAAAGTTTTGAGTTTAGTTCATTTTCTCCTACCTGAAATTGGTAAAAATATAATTTCTCTCATTAAAACAAACTTTCATTGTATAACTATTGGTATGTGATAGACATCATTATTCTAAATATTTTTACCGATTTATATTAAAATTTAGTCTTGCATATATGACATTTTGTTTGAAATGGATAGAGAAAGACTGTATGTAAAATGATTAGAAGTTAATGTGCTAAATTTGAATAAGAGATATATGATAGTCATATGGTTATTGCTCATTATGCATAACATATATTTTGACATAATATATGCATATTGATGAGCACACTAAAGAGATGTATATGTTATGATAATTGCATATGGTGGTGTACATGATATTTGTTATTACGATATGCATGATTTAAAATACGTCTAAGAATAAGTAATATGAATGAATTGATACACTAGATGAGACAGATGAGATTGATACTGATATGATTGAAAAGACTGATGACTGATATATGATTGATATGGGACTGAAGATAGATGATATATAAGATCGATAATAGATAAGACAAATGACAGATAAGACAAATGATGAATAAGACAAATGATACAACAACAACAACATCAAGCCTTTATCCCACTA